GAGCAGTGAAGAAGTCACCTGAAGAAGTGTATCTTGTACACAGGGATTTTTATAGCACTGATTTAACTTGGCAGCTAAAGAAGTTGTTTGGGATTGCAGTGAACCTCCTCTGTCTCTTGTGCGTTAACAGCTCTGTTGGGCAAGAGATAAGGATTTTAAGCAGCTAAATAATGGTACTGTCTATCTGACCTGAGAAATGGCTTCAGAGATTTTCTTCCGATTATGATAAACCTAGTTTATAGTTAGTGATTTAAAATGTATAGCACAGTAAAATGTAAATGAGTAGGATGCATTCATTAACTTTATATTGGAGGGTTTCTTCTGTGTCTCCTTCAGAAGTGTCTGCTGTGTTCTCTCCCTGTGATAACGCTTTTTTAAGACCAAAATTCATTCTGTTACATAACTTTCTATGCCAGTTATGCAGAAGTGAAATAGTTCAGAAGAGTAATACAAGATAGTAAGAAAGCCATATGACATGCTCTTCGTGGTCTTTATTTATTTATTTATTTATTTCATCTGCTGCTATTATGTAGTAGAAATCTTGGAGCTTTTTTTTTTAAATACAGTTTTTCCAAATCTCTTGTTTGTGTGGTTTTGAAAGTATTGGATCAGGTATTAAAATGTCATGCCTCTTAGAAAAGTGCTCTAGGAAGCTTTGTGGTGGGTCCCCGCGAAAAGTATTAGGATAATTAAAAACCAGAATTTGATGTATAATTTTTATCAATTAGCTATATAATTAGCTACATTTAAAAAAAATATCTCCTATCTCTTTAAGTTTTTGTTAATAAGAGCAATCTTAAGCATTGAAAGACTCTGGAGAGACGCAAGCCATGTTTAGGAGTGTTTGTAAGCTTCAAATAAATACTAGATCAGTGAAGTGAAAACTGGCTAATGCTGAGTAGAGATCACTAGGCATTTGCTTACCTCTGACTATATGGAAAGGAAAAATCTGCTTCTTAGATAAAGTAGTCTTTGGTAGGATTTGACCAGATGGAGCTTATTCCTGTGACTACAGAAGAAGTAGTCTTGTAAGTTCCATGGTGCTTTCCAAATTCTCTCCTATTTTCAGTGAAATTTCTGAATTTCATGCTTTTTTATATTGTGAGGAGATGTTTCAGAATGCAGACTGGCTCTTTTTCCAGCTGAACCTGCAGTCAAGGCAGACTGAAGCAATATGCTTGAAGAAGTGTGAATATTCTCATATGTTTCAGTGAACGTTAATGGGAAGATTAATTAGAACAACTTGAAGCCAAAACTGCTTCAGTTCACTTGGATGTCTCCGATAATTTGTCTCAATCAGCTCTAATTGGATGTATGTGGCATTCCAAGTTTAAATCTGCTTGATGAATTTAGAGTCAAAAAGTGAGGAAAAGAAGTTTAAATCTACAACAGGGATTAAATTTAGAATAGAATAAAGAAAAAGAAAAATCTACCACATAAGACTAACTCTGTACTCTATTAAAAACAGATGAAGGAGATCATATACTTCTAATAATTATTGCTTTTTAATTCTATTTTGAAGACCTCATGTAGCTGATATTAAGTCAGTATTTCAGACTGAAAATGCTCTATTAGATACTACTGCATTTTTTTTTTATGGAACTCTTAAGTTTTACAGATACGTGCATACAGATAGGGTTTCTTCTCTTACCTTCCTCTTGCAGATCCGACTTTTTTACTCATGGAAATCTGCATAGCCTAAAACAAAGGTCTGCACAGTTAGTTATTTTTGAATACTAATATACTACTTTTATTTGGATGTAAAAAAAGCCTGTGACTGTGTCCTTTGCAGGACTGACTGTGCTGTGTCACATTCAGCTTCTGGGGAAGGTACAGTACAAAAGTTTGTTTGCTTGAGTGTTACAAAGACAGTAGCCTCTGGCTAAGGAGTACCTGCACGACAAGAGGTTTGTTTCTTTTTGATGTGGGTTTTCCTCTCTGCTCTCCCTAACAGAGGAGGAGAGCAGGAGTCTCTCCTTGCTTTTCTGCTGTGTGCTTCCAGGAAGCAGGACTCTAACTCTGTGCTTTCCATTTTGTAATATATATATGTATATGTTCAAGACTTGAGCTTCATCATTTCATGTAGCTCTTTCACCTTCTTGTCATGGCTCTGGCATCCTCAGAGATGACAGAGTACCTTTATTTGTATTGTGGAGCAGGACTGGAAACTGGCAGCCCCTGCTAGTACCAGATTTGTAGAGGCTATCTGTGCAAGCATCTACCTTTCCACAAGAGTAGGCAGGAAGGCAGAGCTGAGAGAAGCTGACACTGCACGTGGCACAGGCAGATTGGTTACACGTGGTGGGCATATCACAATTTTGGGAACTCGCAGCTTTGATTATTGCTGTCTCCACTGCTGCAGTAGCTGTGGTCACATAGGGCTTTATTATTTTGGTCAGGAGACTGTGATTCCTTCCCCCTGAAATGAGCTGTGTGGCCTTCTGTCTTCCTTTTTAACGTGTTCCACCTCTTGAGCGATGTCAAGACAGAGAAAACGCCAAGGAAAATGTTTCTTTCAGCAATATAGAATTTTTAAGGAAGAGTTTTAGGGTTAAGGAAGGTCTTTCATCTTATATGTAAAATCAGCACCTCGCGTTTATTAGTAATATGATCCATCACATAACAAGTTGGTAATATTCTACTCTCTGTGTCACCTTCTCTGATGTGAGCATCCTGTGTGTATTTTATGGCCGTCATCAGCACTATGAATAACTCTTAAACTACTGATCCATTTCAATCAGCTCTGACAGTTTTATCAAATCTTAAAGATAACTGTTGTCTGTAACTCCTGTGAAAGTAGGCTGGGTGGAGGCAAGAGATGACGTGGTGTGAGCTTGTGCTCTGAAACACAAGGATATGTGGTGAGTGACTCCTTAGGAGGCAGAAAGACTTCAGCTGGAATTTCCACCTTCTTAGGAGCTCCAGCTCCTTTAGAAGCCTGAAGACAGGCATGTAATAAAAAGATAACAGTCAAGGAACATTTTTTGTGGGCTATAATGCATTTTTCTTATGAGGAATGTGACTGTAGGGCTTTATTACTTTGTGTTGTGTTGCAAGTGTGAGGAGTGAATAAGTCTGGTCACAAATAGGGAAGAGTATTGAAGTTGAGGGTAAGGATATCTTTATTTAGAAGCATATAAAAAGAAGTGCTGCCGTTTTTTAGAAGTCAATGCGCCATTGGAAGCGCTCTTCTTTTTCCTATCTGTGGCTTGGTCAAATGTATCTTTTTAAAAGTGTTTCTAATTAATAATATGTACTGGCTTTCACTGAATCACATTAATATGGTGGAGCTGTCAAACTGATGTGCCAGCTGTATTTCTAGAGCAATTTTTTTTTAATTGTCCTAGTATAAACTCTTGTACCAGCTGACAAATCCCAAAAAGCTAAGTTCTCTCCAGGTTAGGATCAGAGAAATAAGAACGTATCTGTCTCGCTCTTGGCAAAAAAATAAAAAAATTAAAAAAAGGACTCCAAAAGAATCTTTTAATTAGAGCAGTTTCGTTCTATCTGCCATGAACCTAACGAGCAATATGAGCTTCTGAAGGTGCAACCATGTGACTTGGTGGGAGCTGATCCTGTAAGGAGAGGATTAGGTGTTTATTTCTGGTTGTCCGCAGCCTGCAGTGCTAAGCACATGTTGCTGAGTGTGAGAGAGCTTCTGGCCAGTTCCCAGTAACCTCTCCTTTACCTCTGCCACCTTTGGGCTTCCATCGCCTCCTGAATATCGCCTCTCCAATTTCTCTGTTCTTGGTGTTTTAGCTTGGGGTAGATTTCATAAATTGTGCTACACACGGTTTCTGTGTGGTGGTGTATTTGGGTCTGCAAATAACACAAAACCTAAATGGAACGTTAATTTTTTTCAGAATCTTGTTTTTTATAGTGTATCACCTGGGAAACTGTTGTGGTTTAACCTCAGCCAGCAACTAAGCACCACACCCTGCTGGTAAGATGAGGGAGACAATTGGAAGTATAAAAGTGAGAAAATTTGTGGATTGACATAGAAATAGTTTAGTAATTCTAGAAATAATAATAAATTGTAAGGAAAAAGAAAATAACAGAAATAAAATATAAGAAAGATAAGAGATGCAAATGAAAACAACTGCTCACCGTCTGACTGATGCCCAGCCAGTCTCTGAGCAGTGCCCTTCCCTCTCCCCTGCCTCCACTTTAGTTTTATTGCTAAACATGATGCCCCGTGGTCTTGAAATATCTCTTTGGTCAGTTGGGGTCAGCTATCCTGGCTGTGTCTCCTCCCAGATTCTCGTGCATTCCCAGCCCACTTGCTGGCAGAGAAGTGTGAGAAGCAGAAAAGTCCTTGATTCCGTGTGAGTGCTGTTCAGCAGTAACTAAAGCACAAATCCAAAACATGGCCCCATACCAGCTACTTTGAAGGAAATTAACTCTATCCCAGCCAAAACCAGTACAGGAAGCACAGTATGAAACCAGCGAGATCCAAAAGGGATGAATAGCTCTGTCCAAGAGGCCACCATTACACTGGCTTGTCTCCAGCACTGACATTTTAAAGTGTGTTTAATGAATTGTTTTGCCTTTAAAAAACAAGGAGTGGTGAAAGAGGAGCCAGTGCTGGGGCTCCTGAATTTTGATACCTCTGTCATTTGTGATCTAGAAGCTACCTAATATTATATGGAGTGAGGGAGAATCCAGCCAGCCACCTTAAAGCTGGGGAGTGAACACTGCCTTCTGCTCACAGCCTGAGAATTGTGTCTGGAGCTGCTGTTCCTATGCTTAGTTCAGTTCTCTTTTTGTAATTGTGGCACCTGAGCGAAATAAATCTGAAAAATCTCCCACTTGAACAGGTTACAGATCTCAATCTTGAATGGTTTAGATGACCCTATTTTGTCAAGAAACCTATTTCCTTCTATTTTTGCATTTTGCAGAATCACGTTTCACCTTGAATTTGATGTTTTGCCCTCTGGGTACTGATGTTAATGTGACTTCTGTGTTGCACTTACTTACGTGATAAATCTCTCTCTTCGCAGATCATTCGACTTCAAGTGGAACATCCTCGTTTAAGCCCAGCCGATCACTGGTTTCTATTCCCACTGCCCATGTGATGCCGTCTAATGCCAGCTCTTCACTTTCCAAACACAGGGAAGCTTTCAAGTCTGATGGCTCCAAATGGAGTAGTAGCTTTGTACGGTCAGGAGGGGCCAGAAATCAGGGCACCCTGGACAACTCTCTGGACATGAAAGATGCAAGACCTGTAAGAAAGTGGTCCTCCTTGTCTAAACTCAGCTCACCAAATACCTTCAGCCAAGATGGCAGGAATCATTCCGTGGACTCGAGGGCTAGCACAGACAAAGCTGCGTCACCACAACTGAGGGCAAATGGGCCAAGTTGCTTGCATGATAGCATGGAACTGCTAAAGATTGAGGACAAAGAAATGGGGAAAAAACGATCTTCTCTGCTGGACTGCAAATACAAATTTGAAACATGCAGCAAAGAGGATTTTGCATCAGATTCCTCAAGTAGGAGAAATGCCTTAGACTTGACCTACAGTGCCTTACCTGAAAGCAAACCTCCAGCAGCCCCTTGTGAAGCTTTCGGACAGAGATATGCAACTCTGGGCCCGCAGGCTGTGGGTGGAGCTCCCATACAGCCAGCAGTTAGGACTCAAATGTGGCTTAAGGAACAGTTACGTGCAAATCCTCTGGACTGTAGGACCGCGGAGGAGCCCTATGGCATAGCTGCGTGGCATATGCAACAGCTTGAAGATTTCAGAGCAGGAGGTGAACAGCCCGTGCAGGTAAGGCTGAAGCTTGGAGTTTGCTGCCATCCTGTGGCGTCGCTGTTATACCTGAAGAATGACATCAGGCAGGAAAGTGAACAGGGCCTCTTAATCGGGTGATGGTATTTTTAGACTTTGATTGGGGACGCTGCTGCTTATTTCTCAATATTAACCGAGTGCCAACAGTTGTGGGGTTTTCTTTTCTGCGATTTGCTTATAGTTTACTCCGATTCATTGTACCTGCATGCATGAAACTAGGATCTTTTTCTGAAGCTGGGTGCAGTAAGATTTCCAGTAGTTCTAAATTTGCTTACAGTGTGGTGGGGTAAATGTGAATGTATTTTGATCTGAATGAGTTTACAAAAAGGCTGCATTTAGACATTCAGCAAAATAAGCATGACTCCTGTGTACTGCAGGGATGAATGAATATTCAGTATCACTATGCCTAGCGCTTAAAAACTGGATTCAGTTTGATATGACCACTTATTTTTTTAACTAATTGGAATTAGCTAGTAGTAGTAAATGAATTTGGTTTATTTAAATAAAATGTGGGGTTTATGTCATACTTGAACCGTTTTCATATAGAAAACATTGAGCATGTGGTTTTAAGAGACAGATAACTCTTTCTAAAATGTCAATGTACAATTTTTGTTTCCAGTTCTTCCCCTAATGGGAGAAGATGCCTTGTGAAGGAAAGCAGTATTTAAATGTTCAGGTTTACCTATGGAGGTAAACTTAGCTTGCCAAAAAATCATGAACAGATTACAATACGTAAATTTTCCTGAGGGACATCTTACGGTTAGGCTAGGGTATTATTTGAACAGAGATAATCCAGCTGTATGTGCACATTCCCTGTTTTCTTCAGCCTGGACATATGTTAAGTAATTTACAAATAGCTGAGCTCAATTTTTCTTGTCCCTTCCACTGTATATTGAAGGAAAGACTGGCAAATTAGAGGTTCCAAGATCCAGTTTTGCTCTCAATGGGCATGTGGATTTTTTTTTTTTTTAAACTTAAAAAAGTTGAAGCCAATTAATATGGGCACGCTAGTGGTAATCCTTAAGGGCCTCTCTAAAAACCTGACATAATTCCGGGTAGCCACCTTTTATATTACCCTTCTTAGTACAGAAACCCTAATTTTTCTCTTAGTTTTTTTTAAGGTTTAGATGTCAAGAAATTATCTGGGTGGAGAGCAGAGGCTGGTGGGTTCCTCCCAGAGCCAAAGTGACAGCAGCAGGCCTCACGGTTGAGGCTGGGTTAGGGGCTCTGGGCTGCTGGTGGCTACTGGTGGCATTGAAGAGCACCTGGGGCACTCAGGAGACGACAGCAGGGCTCCCTGGAGGAGCTCAGTCCACTGGTTCATTGAAGGCTTCCCGAACAGCTGTGAGACGTGTAGCTGGCTGGGAGGTTTGGGGGGGGAGTACTGCGCGTGGTGGTTCTCCTTTCGGATTTAAATGTATATTCAGAGTAAGCTTCGTTTACTTCTTCCCTTCATTTAAGTATATGTCTCTTCATTATCTTTTACGCACCTTTCACAACACTTTGTTTAGGATGGGTGCTTTAGAAACGCTTGTTTAGGTCAAAGCAACTTCCAGCTTTTGTTTTCCATGTCTCACAAGTGCTTTCTTACTCTCACTTTGATTAAATACAGTGTCTCTTTTTTTGTATGATGGCAAAATTTCATGTTTAAATGGATGAAGCCCTGTATACTATTATTATGGTTATTCAAAACTTGTGTTCATGCATTGGTGCTGACCTGTGTTTCGAGGACAGAGCCAACAGGGGGAGCACAAGCATTATTTATTATATTTTTGGCGGAATTCATTAAATGGTGATCCACCTTTTCTCGGTTTTTGAGATTGTAAGGTTATAGGATGAAGTTTTGCCTAACTGTTTGGTTTGGGTTTTTTTTTCCCCTTTGCTCCTGGTATTAGTTTTTATAGCTATGTCAGTATTGATATGCGTATATATATATATATATAAAAAAATAGAGTCACTGTATATATGTGTGTGTGTATATATGTATATAATCTTTCTCTGTATATATCTCCATCTAGCTCTTGGCTTAGAAAGCAATGATCCTGTTGGCTGTCCAGTCAACTGTGGAAAAAAGGGGAAGTCCTTGAAGCTACAGCCTTAGCTCTGCTTATCCTGACTCCTCACTTGATTGTGAAGGGAGGGCACAGAGAGTCTGACAGTCATTAAGAGCACAGGGGGTGCGGAGGAGGTTCCTGGTGGCCTTAGCAAATAAATGTTATGAAGAATGATTGAAGGAGCTGGGGCTGTTTAATTTGAAGAAGAGGAGGTTAAGGGGAGACCTCATCACTCTCTACAACTACCTGAAAGGATGTTGTAGAGAGGCTGATGCTAGTCTTTTCTCACAGGTGATTAGCAATAGAACAAGAGGGAATGACTTCGAACTGCAACAGGGTAGGTTTAAACTGGACATTAAGAAAAAAATTTTCACAGAAAGAGTAGTCAGCCATTGGAATAAACTGCCCAGGGAGGTGGTTGAGTCAGCATCCCCTGGATGTGTTTAAAGGTCGTTTAGCTGTGATGTTGGGAGATAATGGAGTGAGCTTCGTTGAGTAGGGTTAGTGGTTGGACTCAGTGTTCCCAAGGGTCTTTTCCAACCTGAGTGATTCTATGATTAGTGAGCCTTTTCACTGTTACAATTTGGCGCTGTGTTGATGGAGCTTGAAATGTGGTCCGTTACATTTCCTCCAGTGAGAAGTTGCTGTTGTGAAATAGGACCCAGTGAAACAGAAAGTTGAAACTGCAAGAGCAGTGACCCTGTGGGCTCTTGCAGGTGTCCTCTGCAGGCTTTCCCTGCCTGCCCTGCCTGTCTGCCCAGAGGTTACAGCTGTAAGGAGGAGGGATGCCAGAAGAGATGAAGAAAGGAGATTGGTTCTACTTGTCTTTACATCTGTTTTTAAGGAAACCTCAGTATAATTGCACTATGGGTTATTTGTTGTTCTGTAGTTTGGTTTGGTTTTTGTTTTTTTTCTCTCTCCAAAGATCACCATATGTGCCCCTGGGAACTGATATGCTGTTTTTTCTGGGAAATCAGGACAAATACAGTCTCAAGTGGAATATATACCTAGGAAGGAGAAAGAGCAGAAAGTAGATTTTGCTAGAGGAGGCTGATGATTTATAAAAGGGGGGGGAAAAGTCGTATCTCTAGAAACTTTTCTATTTACTTTCCTGTTTTTCTTTTCCTCTTAAAAATTACTGTTTATCATCATTTTACTTCAAAGCTACCATTGCTATGAAAAGGAAACAAAATTAACTTTGTTTTAACTGACAACTTGGAGCAACTTTGTGTATCTTTAAGGTAGACTTGTAGAAGGAGAGCCTATAGAGGGGAGCTGTCATTAATGAAGTAAAAATAGATGGCAAGAACTTTCTGAGTTGATTTTGAGGACTGATGGTTCAGAAACAGCTGTTGGACTCAATACAGTCTACAAATAAATTTGTATGCCCTCTCAGACACATATATATGGTTTACCCTGCAAAACTCTGAATTAAGAGTGTTATTTTAATGAAATCAGACAAGTTTTGAATTTAAGTTTGCTACAAAGAGTAATATATGGTAGCCATTAAAAGATGTTCCCCTGTTAATTACTCTGAAAATGAAGATTCTCTGCTTCCTTAGTAACCTGAATTTGACTGAACTCAGCATTTACTGTTGTTTTGGGGGTTTTTGTTACACTTTGCTCCCCAAATTAAAAGATCTAATTATTTTTAAAAAGATATATTTACTGTGCACTATAAGGGGAACTCAGAGTGTTGAGTAGAAAACCTACAGGTACACTGAGGTTCTCTTCAGGACATGGTGAGATCTGCAGCTTCAGAAAAGGTGCTGTGAGCAGTAGAATGGCCCTTTGGAGAGGGTGCATCATTCAGCTGTGGGTGTGCCGTTTGTACATTTCTGGTCTATGGTTATTTGTAGCATGGAGCTGTATACGAAAATTCTTTTCTCTAGCTAATGTGTAGTATTTAATGTATGCTTTTTGTAGATAAATGTTCTCCCTTGCATTGCCAAGGAATATATTTTAACAGTATTTCAGTGAAGGCAATTTCCATGCTGAATTTACATTTCGCCATACGCTTAATTATTTTCAATGTACAGATGATTGTACAGCAGACATGGCGTTTTCTGTTTCTTTTTTTTTCTTTAAACTCCAAAGTAAAGAAGTGTATGGCTAGACCTGTGTTAAGGGAAAAAAAATGCTTATGCTATGTAAGAGCAGTTCCCATTTACTGAATTGCGAGGCCCTAAAAATCTGGATAAAAAGACTGTGTGTTCTCATGTAAAGGCATTTTCTAAAGCCCAATTCTATTATCTGTCCGATTATCTGAATGCATCTAGATACAAACTGTGTATGTACCAGAATTCAGGTTTAAAATTAAAGCATACTTTTAAAATTGTAGGAGATAATGCGGTAAGAAGGACTGTTGCAGAAGGTCACATATCTATTTATTAGCTCTGTGCAGTGTGGTCGGCATCGCAGGATAAATCTCTTTTCTGTTTTTCCAGGATGTCTGTAGGAGCTCTTCATGGTGTGCTAACTTGTGCTAGAATATAGCAGAGGTAATAGATGGGCACTGCTTAAGTGCATATTTTTCCTTTAATGTATCTAGTCTACAGTTGGTTTTTTTTCTTTAATGAGAAAAACACTGCCTTGTTCATACTGTGTGTGTAAGAGTTACTGGAAATTAAATTTTATTGCATTGAGAAATTTAGAGATGCTACAACATTCTTCATTTCAAAACAGAGAAGGAAGTAAATTGCATGCATACCTAACTAGACATTAATAAACGAGTTTAAAAACTTTTAATTGAAAGAAAAAATTCTAATATTTCTCAAATAACATTGTTGTCAAAACATTATTCTTAAATGTCAACTCAAAGCTAGTTTTTCTTTTGATTCTATGCTTAATATAATTTTTCCTGTGTCACATTTTGATCAAACCAAACATTTCAGCAAAATAAAACATTGTGACCTGCAGTGGGTA